GTGAAATACACACACCTCACACATCCCAGCACACACCCTACCTCCCCCACACCATACACAACACACATACCACATACAACACCTCCACACACACAACACACACATGCATGTGCGCGTACTCACACACGTGTGCATTTGCCAGGGAGGCGCCCTCCCCCACCCTGGCCCACAGGACACCCCCCGCAGCATTCGGAACCCAGGAGCAGGCTGGGCCCAGCTGCCCCCCAGGTCACGGCCAGGTCACCGGAGTTCAGCCTGCGATGGCCCCTCTAAGCCTCCAGGACTCAGAGCCACCACAGGCCCCTCCGCTGCCCACGGTGGCTCTTGTGAAGGGAACAGAGGCTGCCGTATGGAGGGGAGAGGGCTGGGCTGGGCTGGGCTGCCCTCGTGCGGCGCTGGCCAGGCCATCGGGACGCCGGAGTGGCCAGCGCCTCCCAGGTTCACGCGTCCTCCTTGTTACATATTAACACCCCCTTTCTCACACGCCTATACACACGTGCATTTACTGCATTTGTCATGATCAAAGCAGAGCTTTTGGAAAGATGCGGAACAGCACTAGTGGTCAAAAAGCGTGCCTGCCCACGTGGCTCAGGGGTTGAGCGTCGCCTATGAACTAGGAGGTCACAGCTCGATTCCCGGTCATGGGGACTGCGGAGCCGCGGGGACTTGGGCACCACTCGCCAGTGGGAGCCATCTGGTCCCTGTGGACCTGGGCACTCCCTGCTACAGGTGAGCACACGCACCCGCAGCAGCACCGGGCCCTCCTGCCACACCCCCAGCTCAGGTGCGGCACACAGACCCGCTGCTACCCGCCAACGGCATGGAGTGAGGGCCAGCGGGCCCCAGCCCTCCCCGCTGTGCCTTCGCTCTTGCAGGGGAGGCCACAACCACTGGGCAGGGTCAGGAGGAAGGTCACAGAGCAGGTGGCTCCCAGTCCTGGTGGCATCACAGGTGCGGATGGTCCCCTCCATCCTGCCTTCTCTCCCACCACACCTGCCAATCAGCGGCTGTGCACCAGACAGGCACACATTGGCCCTTGGGGGGGAGCATTTGACAATGCCTGGGACATTTTTGGTTGGCACAGCTGGGGAAGGGGTGCTCCTGGCATCTAGTGGGTGGAGGCCAGGGGTGCTGATAACACCCCCCAGTGCCCAGGGCAGACCCCGCCAGGAAGGACATCCGCCCAAGTGTCAGTTATGTGAGGCTGAGAAACCTGTCTTAAGTGCTCGACGGTGGGCGTGCTGGGCGTTATTGCTGTGCCTGAGTAAGGGGACGTTTTAGCTACACATTTAGAGCCAGGAAGCCTGCGGAAAGGAGCGCCCTGTGATCATGTCCATGAGTCCGCCTGTGTGGAACGCGGGCAGCAGCGGGCGGAAATGTCACAGAAGGAGACCACGCGTTTTCCAGGCCCGTGTGCATTTTCATTCCGGGTGCACAGTTCTACGGCCCATCCTCTGTACCCTGTGCTGTGCGGTCACCGCACGCCCCCAAGTCAAGTCTCCTTCCTCACCATTCAACCCCCTGACCCCCTTCCCCGCTCCCCTCCCATTCCCTGTGGTCGCACCACACAGCTGTCTGTGTGTGTGAGTTGGGTTTTGCCTGATCCCTCCACCTTTTTCACCCAGCCCTGCAGCCCCCTCTCTTCTGACAGCTGGTGGTGGACACTGGTTTGCTTGCGCCTTCCAGCTGCTGTGAAGAATGCTGCCAGGAGCATGAATGTACAGCTATCCCTTCGAGACCCCTTTCTATTCTTTGGAACTGCTGGGTCGCGTGGTAGTTTGCTATTTGGAGGACCCGCCACGCTGTTTCCCCAGCGGCCACACCGCCCTCCATCCCCTGCACAGCGCACGGGCTCCAGTTCCCCCACATCCTCACCAACGCTTGCTCTTTCGAGTTCTTTGATAGAGGCCGTCTGAATGGGTGTGAGCTGGTCCCTCATGGTGGTTGGGTTTGCATTTCCCTAATGGCCTAACGGTTCGTGATGTTGAGCATCTTTCCGCGGGCTGAGCACCGTTTTTATATCTTCTGTTCACATTCTGTGGGTGAGAACTTCGTCACGTGGCAACATCTCACCACAAGGCAGGCTGGGAGATGCAAGGTAGCCGGGCTATGCGTTAGCTCTCTGTTCTGCCTGGCAATATTACCACTGACCTAGTAGCTTAAACTTCAACATTTCCTACCTCCCAGTTTCTGTGGGTCAAGAGCATGGGCACAGCTTACCTGGGTCCTTTGCAAGATGGCAATTGAGGGGTTGGCTGGGCTGCAGCCTCATCTGAGGCTCAACTGGGGATGGATCTGCTTCCAAACTCACTCTGGTGGCAGGCAGGACTCTGGTCCTTGCAGTTATGGATGGATGCTTCGGTTTCTTGCTGCAGATCTGCCAGAAGCTTCCCCATTCTGTGGAGGGTGTCTACAGCAGTGGTTCTCCACCTTGGCTGCACATTAGAATCACCTGGGAATCTTTTTAAAATCCTGATTTCTGGGCCTCATTCTCCGGAAATTCTGTTTCTTTGTTACTAATGTTGTGGCCTCACCCCATCACAAACATTGTAACCACACCCTTACTTTGCCTCGTGGAACCTGGCTATACAATAAAGACTCGGCTTGCAGACTGTGGTGCTGTCTCTCCATTAGAGACAGTGTCCACCCCACCCCAGCTTTATTCCCTTGTCTGTCTTTTCTAAATCCTTCACTGCTCCCCTCCCCCTCTGGTTCACCCATGGTCATGCTGGCTCAGCACACCATTCCTTGGAGCCACTCCAGTTCCTTGTCACTTGGGATTTCCTCAAAGGCAACCAAAGAGAGAGACTCCAACAAGGCGGGTGCTGCCATTTTAAATATATTCTTTATTGGTTTCAGAGAGGACATGTTTTTTCTTAGCAGTGGGAAAGTGCTAGGTTGAAGACTGGCTCCATCTTTTAACTTGATGGTCATGTTGTGGTTGGTGGTTTAAATTTGTTTATGGTGTTGTTGACATGCAGAAGCTCTGCATTTAAGTGAAGTCAAATTTCTCAATATTTTTCCTTTACAGTTTATGAGTCACATCATGTCAGGAAAGATCTTCTCCCTCCAGGATGACATGAAATTCCACCCACATGCTCTCCTAAAATAACTCGTTCTTCTGGCCAAGGATCCCAGGTGGGGGGAACTTTCTCTTCACGACGAGGGTGATTTGTTTGGATAAACTATTTTGCTGCTGACTTGCTTGAAAAGCTGTTTGTTCACAATTTCGCTAATCAGTAACTTTTTAAGGAGGAGAAGAAGTGAGATTTCAGCAAATTATTTTCACCCTTTAATATACAATTCTTAGTGTGGCTCCAAGATAAGCAATAAAATTTCAGAGAAAGCTCTTTTTCGGTGCAAAATCAGCATCGTTCACATGTAGCCAATGATACCGTGTATCGCAGCGATTCTTGGCCTTTCTCACACAGGGCGCAGCGCGCTGTGGCCTCGGATGTTTACCCTCAGGGGTCACTCCGTTGCTGTGTGTTTACCTCCAAATAGAAAATTATGATTGTGTCAATCTGGTCCGTTCACTGACAACCGCCTACCTCTCAAACAGAGGACAAGTTATTGGGAAATCGTGGAGAAACACGTGCCCCTTTTCCTTCAGCAATTAGGACACCCCCTCTCTGGGCAAAGCACCCTATGCAAAGTGTGAAGCTGCTAGCAATATATTTATACGCACCTTTAAACATTGCCACCAGCACAGGCGCACATTTTAGCTCCATGGACTCTACTGTTGTGGTGGTGATATAATACTCCAGTGATCTTCAGTCCACCAGGTAGCACCAAGGCCTTCCAACGTGGCCACCTGGGGCCCGGTGGCTACAGCAGAGAGTAAACAGGTGGGAGCAGAGACCACTATCTCGCGTATCTTTGCATCTGCAACATTGGTTGACTCTACGATACCCATCCCTTTGCCAAGCCCAGAACTGACATCCATGACGCTTGTGCAGTAGATGCAGATCCCTGTCGATAAACGCAGGTGTGAGGGGTGGAACCCAGGACACGTCTCCATAGCTCAGCAGCTTTTCCGTCCACCAGATCGGTCCTCTCCACCTTCCCGAGTTGCAGCGGAGTCCCGGCCCGTGCACAGGTCCTAGGTGTTGAGAGGAGAGAGGGGCCATTTGTCCGTGCCTGCCTCTGCCCAGAGGATCCCGTGTCCCAGCCCGGCCCAAAGGAACCACATCGGCCAGGAGGCCCGCTTTTCATCGCTGGTGATAACAAGCTAGAGTTGCATCAAAACTGCAAGAGAAAAAAAATCCTTAGAAATATTTTTTAACCGCCCACAGATATTTAACAGTCTGATGCATGTAGAGTGTTTGGCGTGTTTTCAATTCCTGACGGGTCCTGGAAAAGGAAGAACAAAGAGTGTTGTTGATATGTATAAGTCTTTAGAGAGGGCGGGTGTGAGTGCCAGTCGCCAGCAGCAGCAAGAAATCTTTGTGGGGCAAGACTGCCCCCTTGTGACCAATGTTGGCTTAACTATTTATGTGCATGCCTCTAGAACAGCAGTTCTCAACCTTCCTAATGCCGCGACCATTTAATACAGTTCCTCATATTGTGGTGACCCCCAATTTCATTGTTACAAATTGAACATCATGAAAGCATAGTGATTAATCACAAAAACAATAT